GGTTAGTTTTTATATCTATGTCGAATCCGTTATTTTTTAAAATTTTTATTATTGCTTTTCTTAAGATTATGAGGCCGTCGTCCCTGTTCCTGTGTCATTTTTATCTATTATTTTAAAGTTTAAATGCCTATGATTTCGCATTTTACCGTCAAAAAACTAACAGTGTCAAATATCCCATCTTTCTTTATCCATGATTTCATTGTGGAATAATAATGATTTAAACATGATGTTAAAATTATTTAAGTCCATACGTTCTGTTATGGATGGGTTTCCAATTAATTTTAGTTTATATATAGTAAAAATTGAAAAAATGTTTAAAAAAAAATAGAAAGTTTCCTAAAAAGAATGAGATGGAAAGTCCACTTTTTAAATCAGGACCTTCACAATAACACACTTAAGAAGGAAAAATACGGCTTCAAAACAAAAAAAATGCCCCCAACAAAAAAAAATTAGACGATTTCGAGAAAGACTTAACTGACCTAGTTAGAAACATAAAATTCCACGAAAAAAACAAGATGCATTCCAAAAAAACTAAAAGCAGATATAACTAAAATAAACAATTCAGCAAGTGTATTTATCGCTGCTGACAAAACGAGAAATTTATACAAACTAAGCCCTCCTACACACAATAAATTACTCAAGAACAACATAACCAAAACATACAAAAAGGCACCCCAAACAACAGAACACGATATCAATAAGGAAGCTAAAACAATCGCCCAAAAATTAGACCTAGATGACCGAATAAATTGTATTAGCAAGGCACGAGCCTTTATCACACTAAAAGACCATAAAGAAAATTTCAAAACTAATCCTGCATGCAGACTCATAAACCCAGCCAAAAGCGAACTAGGTAAAATAAGTAAAACAATACTAGAAAGAATTAATTCTGAACTTAGGAAGAAATTAGGAGTAAACCAGTGGAAAAATACGAAAACAACTATTGACTGGTTCCACAACATAAATAACAAACAAAATTGCCAATTCCTACAATTAGACATAAAAGAATTTTACCCATCTATAACAGAACGTATGCTAGATAAGGCCATCGACTTAGCTCAGGAACAAATAATAATAAAACCAAGCGAAATCAACATCATTAAGCACTCCCGTAAATCATTATTATTCCACAATGAAGAAGCATGGATAAAGAAAGATGGGATATTTGACACTACAATGGGAAGCTTTGACGGTGCAGAGGCATGCGAAATCATAGGCATTTACTTACTACACGAACTGAGCAAAATAATAGATAAAAATGACACAGGACTCTACAGGGACGACGGCCTCATAATCTTAAGAAACTGTAACAAACAAAACACAGACAAAACTAGAAAAGCAATAATAAAGATTTTTTTAAAAATAACGGATTCGACATAGATATAAAAACTAACCTAAACGAAGTAGATTTCCTAGATGTGACCTTCAACCTAAGAGAAGGCACATATAAACCATACAGAAAAACCTAACGATAAACCACTCTACATACACACATCTTCCAACCATCCGCCTTCTATAATCAAACAGATACCAAAATCGATTAACCGCAGGCTCTCCGACAATTCCTCCAATGAATCCCTATTTAACAAAGCTAAAAAAAGACTATGAAACGGCCCTAAAAGATAGCGGATTCCCAGCAATACTCACATACTCACCACAGAATACAAAAAAGACCAACAGGAGAAGAAATATCATATGGTTCAACCCACCGTACAGCAAGAACGTAAAAACAAACGTAGGAAAAATATTCTTCAAACTCTTACACAAACACTTCCCAGAATCAAGCACCTTACACAAGATATTCAACAAAAAATACAGTAAAAATCAGCTACAGCTGCACCGAGAGCATGGCACAAATAATAAAAAAAGCACAATAGGAAAATTATCAACAAACCACACGAACAAATTAAACCCACGTGCAACTGCAGAATAAAGAACGAATGTCCCTTAAACGGAAATTGTCTACAAAACAACGTAATATACCAAGCCACGATAAAATCACCAGATAACGAAGAAAAAGTATACATAGGAGTAACTGAAGGACCCTGGAAGCAAAGAAATTATACACACAAAAAACATCGTTCACAAATAGTAAATATGCGAACAGTACTATGCTTTCTAAGTATATCTGGGAAATAAAAAAACAAAACGCACATCACACCAAAAATATCTTGGAAGATAAGGAAAAAGTCATCAGCCTACAACAACCAATCAAAAACTTGCAAACTTTGCTTGGAGGAAAAAATAGCTATCATTACTTTCCCCGACCAAAATAAATTATTAAATAAAAGATCCGAGCTCATCTCAAAATGCAGGCATGAAAATAAATTTTTACTACGTAACCTAAAAAATGAAAAAACGGAAAAATAAAAAAAAAAAAATAAATAATAAAAAAAAAAAAAAAAAAATAAATAAATAAATAAAATAAATAAATAAATACTATGTTGCTTAAAAACCGAAAACCAAAAAGAAAAAATATAAAAATAAATTGACCTAAATTCATCCAAGTAAATAAATAGGCAAACCAATCCCAAATTAAAAAACTGTTCCTGCTATTATCCAAAAAAAATAATAGTTAGAATGAACTACAACAACCAACCCCAAAATTGAACAAATAGCTTTAATTAAATTCTCAAACCAAAACAAAACTGTTAAATACGTGATATAAACAAATTTTTACTACGTTAATAAATAAATAAAAAAATAACAAATTTAAAAAAAAAAATCACGAAAAAATAAAAAAAAAAAATAAATAAAATAAAAAAAAAAAAAAAAAAAAACGAGCAATATAATTTTGACCCAAATAAATGAACAAAGCGACTTCCGGTAAAAATAACCGCCATAATAGAATACCCACAATGCACCACTAATATCATATTCAAACAGTAACATCTTCTCAAAATGTTGACATTTATTCTATGCAAACAGGAATACAGATCAGAACAAACATTTTATATTAGTTCAATTCCTTTTCGGTCTCATCCTAGAAATCAACCATAAAATCATATTAATTACGATAAGGATTTCGCTAGGATTAAACAAACCATATTAGGATTTGAATTATATATAGTAGGTTTTTACCTGTGTAATTGTTTTTTTTATTTGTGTAGTATTCAACAAAGTTGGAAGTCAGGCTCATTGTATTGATTAGAACAATAACCAATAATCATATGTCAATGATTTCAGATTTATGCCTTAAGTGGATTATACGGTTTAATTTAAACCCTTCCAAAAGTCAATTTAAATTTATTTGCTTCATTAGAAAATTTTGGTTTTCTATTATTGCTCTTAATACAGGAAAGTTATCTTAAAACTAATTCTAGCTTCGAATAAACTTCTATTCTTAGCTACGGCAATGAGTCTGGCTTTGATTCATATCCTCAATTAAGCCTTGGCACTGATCCCACCATGGGTTCAGTTTTTATTCTCTGACGCACTATTTTAAATACTGAGATCGAACTGCTGCTTATAAACGTTTACTACTCAATTCAAAAACTAAGTAAATAGTTAAGACACGTTATTTATATCAGCTGGAACCATATAATTCTTTGTTAGAATTATATACACAATATCAGTTACTTCGATTTGACGAGATGCTCGTATATACACGAAAGTATTATCTTATAGGTGATTGTATTTTGACGGCAAAATGTAAAAGATTATGTTCAAAGGAGAGAGAGCAAAGAGTTTTTGCGTGTGTGTGTGGATGTTTCACTTTAACATAAAATTCTAAATATAACAGAAAAAATGTATTCATTAAATTGTGACAATTCGATCTTTTATCTATTCAGTATTGACGCAAATAGAGAAAGGCTTTTGACACGGACATGTTTGTATTGGTTACATAAATAATTCTAAAACTTACATTTAAGCAATCAGAATTATTTGGTTAGCTATAATTATAATTGAATAACGTCTGTTTTCTCCGTCATGAAAATGTCTTATTGAATGTAGAAAATTGTCACTTGAATGTATTCACTTTTTAATGATATCATTTACATAAATTATATTCAAAAGCCTTATTTCCTTGCACTCATGCTTTCAAGAATAAAAGTGCTAATGAGAAAATTGGAAACGCCATGACAAGAACTGGAATATTGTTATGAACTTAACTACAGTCTGCGTACTTATTGCTTTATAAACATCGATAACTCGTGGGCATTTTCTGTCTATTATTTGTTGCTGTTATCGGAAGTACGTTATCTACGGTAGATATTGGCGTAATGAATCTGAAAGTCAATTAAAGAAAATGGGAACATAGATTAATTTCTGCTAGTTATTTTACCAAACACTGAAGAAGCGAAATTATTATATTTCACTATAAAAAAAATCCGGCTAATGGCGTATGCATGAAAGAATAAAATATCCAAGTTATTGATACTTAATAATAATGATTAAAATCACTGGTAGAATTGCTTGTGGTCATAATGACAACATACATTCAAAAACAACATCGGTGCCCAGATTGAGTCGGATTCATTTTTAATTTATAGTTTTGTCATTAAGTTTTCCAAATGAAAACTAATACGAATTCAACCTTAATTTGATACCATCACCTACTAACTGAAAGATTCCATAATTAGCAAGTCTTTTTTTTTTCTTCCGTATTCTATTTCCGGTATCTTTTTTATTCTTTACTACATTTACAGAACTTTTTATTAATGTGTGCGCACGTCAATTCTTTGACCACATGTTGTTGAATATCATGTTTAGATAGTTTCTCTAACTTATGAAGAATTCATGTTTTGGAGACTTAAAACAATTGTAACTAACAATAACATTTTTGATGTTGTTTATACATCACGTACATGATTTTGTGTGTTGTGTTAATTTATTTGGCTGAACAGTTCGTCTCTTAGATTTGAGGATTGTAATGCAGTGAAAATATGTAAAGAAATGGCCGTCGAAATGTTCCAGCGAACATCATCTTTAGTTGAACTGAAAATAACTTCAGTTTTTCCATATTTTGTCTTAATTATTTCGTTTTTCAATATTTTCAGATCTCAAAGAAGCCTTTGAATTATTTGATAAAAACCATGATGGCAAAATCTCAGGAGACGAGCTTGGATGCGTTCTGCGAAGCCTGGGTTTAGAGTACACACAGGAAGAAGTTGATGAAATGATAAAAAATGCAGACACAAACGGTGAGTAAATGTTTTTGATAAAAATTGATAAAGACTGATAATAAGAATTGTTTAATAACTTGCAAATAAAGACTGATAATAAGAATTGTTTAATAACTTGCATAAGGCTGGTAATTACAAAGATAATAAAATATATTTACTTGGAACATGCTGTAATGTGAATTTTATTGCTGTGTTAATCCCTCATAATCCAACGTACACTAGTATGAACTGTTTTTCTGTCTTTATTTTATCTTCCAAGATAGATTCCGGATAAACTTTGGAATGTGTTCTCATTGGCCTAATAATATGATGCCTATTTTTCTGATTGTTTGAACCGTTTTGAATTTTGTTAGAATTCATTTTTAGGCGGGAACACTACAAATTTCCTGTGTTCAATCAGCCTCAGAAGAAAGTTTGCCTTTTGAGCATTTACTTAACGGAATTAAGATATTTTCGTCATATGAATTTCATTTTGGATGTTTATATTTAAATATTTTTGTTGTAATTCTTAACAATTTCCAATTGTTTTCTATCCGCAGAAAATGGCTTCGTTGAATATGATGAATTTCTGGTGATGATGCAAAGGTTTTCCCAGCAACCACCAAATCTTCCGAGCATGGATGAGAAAACACGCGAGGCATTTCGCGTCTTCGATTTGGACGGAAATGGTTATATTGACAAGAACGAGTTGCGTCACGTAATGAAACGACTTGGAGAGAATCTTTCAGAGGATGACGTTAAAGAAATGTTTCGTGAAGCGGATCTCAACAATGATGGAAAAATAGATTTTAATGGTAATAATTTAACATATTTTAAACGCGTTTTTTTCATAATTTTTAAAGTATGGTATAAATTTAGTTCAGTTGTTAATGTGATAAGTAATTTACCGATAACTGGTGTAAGTAATACTTGCTATGGAAGGAAGCAACTAAGCTTATATTAGCCTTGAGCTATTATTTAACGCTTCATTAATGTTACCACTAGTTTAATACAATATTTGTTGTTATTCTTCGTGTTATGCTTGTGTACCGTGTTGAGCTCACTGATTCATCAACGTTACGGACAGGATGCTCTTGGAAAGCATAAATCCATGTTCCTCCATCTATGGGTTAAATAGCGTGGCAGATTAGGCTCTCTTGCCTTGAGGTGGCAATCAGTCTAGGAGAAGGAAAACCCTGAATTAAAAATATAATCTGAAGAGGTCTGTATCTTGTCCAAGACACACCACTAATGTTATGGTTACACTATAATGATACGATGGGTTATGAGAATCGTTACTGTCGAGCTACATAGGTGTTTCAAACTTGTGTCTTCGGCAATTCTAATGATTGACATTGATATTAAGTAATCTGAACTTTGAATTTTTCATTCCCAAGAGTTGCATTTGTCTGTGTGCAATTTGAATAGATGTCTTTTGTCAGTAAACATCTTCTGATCCTTTTGACATACAATCTCTGAAATAATGATGCACTGGATACTGCATAGATACTTTTTAATACGACTTACAAGCCAGTAAATACAGTATTGAAATAAGCATTTGACATGTGAAACATACTACTTTTTAAAATTGTACAGTTGATTAAAAGAATACGTTACATTAAAGCAAAAACGAAAAAAGAAATTAAAATATTGATCAGCATGAAAGTGACAAATCCCTAGCTGCAAATTATAAATTGCTTTCTTCCGTTCAATTTCGCCGAAATCACCTTCATCACTAATATATATTGCCTTGTTACAGAAAAACAGTAGAAAACAAAGCAACACACTTTTCATTTTGGCACTTATGTTTAACTGCAGTTATAGTTTTTAAATTGTTCTTCTCTTCAGGATTATTGTGTATTTACTGCGATTTTAATTATAAATTAAAACTGCACCACTTTTATGACATTGCGACATTCGCCCATTTCAGCCCGTTCAATGCTCGAGCCTCGCGGCTGACCGTTGAATGGATCACTTCGAACCAAGACTTGCTTTGTCCTAAGTTGTGTTTGATTTAGATCACAAGGCTGGCGAAGATCATTTGTCAACAGGAATCGTTGAATTGGTCTGGTCCGGACAAATGGAGCCATAAGTCATAGGATAAATTGTAATAAAGAAAATGTTTTATATACCGTTTCTTGTACAGGCAATCATTTCTACAGGCAGGAATATATGTTTATCATGCAGGAATATATTTGTCATGCAAAATTATTCGACCCTTTCCTCTTCGAATATTTCGTGACACTTTGTTCGTCATGACTAAGTCTAGACAAGGCTTCTGGAACACAGTCGGAGGACTTCTTCAGTGGCAGGATGTCACGTGAAGCGGTCGTCCCTCGCCTGGTATCTGGCGGCTTCTCCCTCTCGATCGTTTCGATTCTCTGTTTATATGGACCTCCGTCCAAAACCGGCATGGGGGCTGGTGTGGGTTGGGATTTCGGTTCTTCCCTTGATCTCCACAGAGATTTTTTTGCTTGACTCTGAGAAAATAAGTATTTGTTCAATTTTGGAGAGATCCCTTCTCCGAGTAGTAGTCACAGCAGAATATCGATCCACCCCAACTCCTTCCTTCTCGTATTGGTGCCTCATACCAATACTACTCAAGAGGTGTAGGCAATTCCTCCGTCTCCCTTGAGATTCCACTTAGTCCCTTCACTTCCACGGTCACCTGGCCAATCCGATCTCTAGACTGCATGGGCAAGTAGGCGTGGCTTAGCACCAATTATTATTTTTTAATTAACGTCCAAAATTCTCACCAACGGAATTCCTCAACCCTTTCCGATTTCTCAATCGAGCATTCATCAGCTGTTTCCATGAGAGCCTCTTCTTGTGGCACTTTGGCTCTTACCCAAAGAAATCAGCGATTCACACCTTTCCTTCCTTTTTTGACAAGTGGTGAAAAAAATAATTCTCCAACTTTGCCCTTGTTTCCAAAAAACCATAAATTTTATCTCTCGACTGACTTTTCCTTACCGGCTCTTGATCAGCAGATAATTACATAACCTGGATTTTAAAAACAATACTATCTCCATTTAGGCTTTTACCTAAAGAAATTTCACCGCTCCAGCGATTCATACCTTCTCCTCTTCTTTTGACAAGTGATAAAAAAAAACAATTTTTTACCTCTGCCTTTGTTTCCAGAACACTTTAAATTTTATTTTTCGACCGACAGGTCTTGTCCCGCAGACAATTCTTTAACCTGAATTTTAAAAACAATGTCTCCATTTCCTAGTCAGTTGTCAACTTCGGCCATACAGTTTTTTTGTAGGAAAAATCAAATGTTTCTTGTCTTTCCCCTCTGCCTTTATCCAAGGAAGAAAAAAACAACAATTGAATTTACTAAAATCTGTTCTCGTCTCTCGATATGTTTATCGATCTATCCTTCAACACTTAAAGTGTCACAACTCTCTCGGTATATCAATCGAGCTTTCCCTTAACCCTTAAAATGTCACACTTTAGCATGCGTCAAACAATGAATAATTGTCCTGATGAAACATGATCTCTTTCGTCAGTTTTCCTGGGCGTTTGGTCTTGATAACTTTTTGTAACTGTCTCGGGAAGTTGGCACATTACTCTCCATTGATTGTGTTGCTCTTTTGTACCCCCACCAAAAAAAAATGAGACAGTCACCTTCCCTGCAAATGAAACTACCTTGGCCTTCTTTAGAGCAGGTGAGGAGAGATGTCACTTTGTCTCTGGCTCAAAGTGATGAACCCAACACTCATCCTGGGTTAGGAAACGTTCAAGGAATCAGCTGGATCTGCCTCAAACAATGTTAGATTTTCCTGTGATATTATCGGTGCGCTTTTGATCATGTGTCAGAAGGCGTGACACCCACCAAGCAGAAACCTTCGTCATGCCAAGTTCATTGTACATAATATTCCCAACTCTCTCACGGGATATGCTAATAGCATTAGCTATTTGATTTATAGTCAATCACCTGTCATCCATCACCATGTAGTGAAAACGATGGTGGAAGTTGTAGGATGTTCAGATTTTGAGTCATCTTCAAGACTCTCCTTTCCCCTCCTAAATTCAGCTGCCCACTTTTGCATTGTTGATAAAAAGCTAGGGCGTCATTCCCTAATGTATCAATCATGTCAGCATGAAAATCCTTGTGGGCTAAACTCTTTTTTTCTATAGGTACTTGATAACATCACGATGACAAATTTAAATCCATTTTCAAGAAAAGTCGTTACGAGTTACGTTTTCGATATTCCTGTGTGAAAATTAGTAATTTCAGTTATATTATCTTGAAAGCGTTGTTAATCATATTTAAATTTTTATTTTCATCTTAATTCAAGTTGATTTTCATCGTATCTACTCAAATTGTCATTCGACAGCTATTGTTCTACAATACGATGTACAGCATGAATCGGAAATAAAAACAAAGTCTAGAACTTCTTTATTTCTTTACTTGTGAGCAGAGACAATCAAAAGCAACTTAAGTTGAAAAAAGTAAATAATGAATTTCATTACTCCGAGTTTTATAATTTTGTTGAAGAAGAAAAATTGATTTTGCTCATCAAATGACTGTGAAGAAAAATCGTTTTGTGAAATGTATCTGGAGTTGCAAATTGATATCGATTCTCTTAAAATGTTGTTGTTTTTTGTTTGTTTGTTTTTACATTTATGAATAATTAAACGTTTCGTATATTTTTGTTTCTTCTAGAATTTCGTCAGCTGCTGGGTTCATGCAAATTGAAATAAGTTGAATTGAAGATGCCAAAATAAAGATCGAGAGAAAGAAAGAAAAAAAAGAAATTATCCAGTGATTGGATAACTTACCACTGTGCACCCAGCTGTTCCACAAATAACGTTCCTTCTCCCCATTTCACATGTGATGATGGCGTTTTATGACGATATCAATAAGCAATCTATGAGGATGTTGACACTGGTGTTATCCATTTTACCCTGCGACTGAATAACTAAAACAGGGATGAACAAAACTAAAGAAAAAAAGATTTCATTTATTTAAAAACTAACAACAAACGATAAAGTGAGAATGTTGTACAAATGGATAGACATATACTAGTGCAGCAAAGCCCTACCCTTAGCTGTTAAAGTCTGGATAGGCTTTGTTTTGTCTAATGAAAGCCGAAAGGTTTTCGTTCTACATGATGCCACGAACAGTTTCGTATAAGGGAAGTGACGTAAAATTTCACACGTTTATATGATAAAACTAAGAAAATTTTCTGACATATCAAAAATATACAGTATATTATGTATAAATTACGTTAATGTCATTATCATCGTTATAGAATAATGATGATAATACAATTATTATTATTATTATTATTATTATTATTATTATTATTATTAATCTTAATCTAATTTTAAATCTGATGCATTTTGATCTCTTATGGGGAAACACGATTCAAATATTTATACCTATTTATTTTACTTAAGACTTCTTCCTGTTGATTTATATCAATTCACGAATGAATTACAATAGCAGATTTGAAATGTTTTGGAGGCTATTGAGAATTGTTATTGTTTTCCTTGTTTTTTTTTTTTTTTTCATGGAACAATTTACTGGGATTAATTAAACAGTTTCACAATGAAGATAACATTTTTGTCATCAATCATTAAACTTCTTTAAACCGGTTTTGAATACGATTTAGGAATGACAACACACTTCGATAAATTTACTAGATGTAACGTTTGTATTTATTACATTCTGGTGAAATTTTTGAAAATGAATTATGAATGTTCAAAATATTCTAAACATACTGATATTTTGGGGACATTCCCTATCACTGTGAGTTCGTCCCTCTATGTTTCTGCTTTGCTTGTTCTCTAATGTTATGATGCATGCGCCACATGGCTGCCATGTTTCACAAAGTCTAGGCTACTCTGCAATGAAATGTATTGCATATGTTCTTTTTAATGTAACAGCATTTTCACAGCGACATGGGTTAATTAGAATGTCTCAGGTTCTTTATTAATATCATAGCTCTATAAAGTTTTATCATTTTAGCGTTCAGTCGTAAAGTAAACATAAAATAACTTTTGAAAGATGAGTAATTTGTATAAACTGTTGAATTGGAAAGTTGAGTGCGATTTGATTTGACTGTTAAGCATTGTCGACCTACAGAGTGTTACCGATTAAGACTTTCAAATTGCCGCTCTGAAATTCAACATCATTGATCAGCATGGATAATCTAAAGCATGGATAATCTAAAGCATGGATAACCCTGACGAAAACTATGCAGAGCGCATTAACATTCCTTCTATTTCCATTCACGTCCTTTAAAAAGAAAAGGGAGAATCATATTTCATTACTTACTTTAGTCACAAGGAAATTTACGACTCTTGTTTAATTTTCAGCACACTGTAGGCATAACATTTCAAAGATGTAAGTAGATAGAGAAATCAACAACCTTCTGAAACATTCCAGCCATGTTGTGAGTCTCATTGACGATAACAGTATGAAACATCTTGGCAGAAAAACGTGCATCCAAAACTTTTCTTTAAAACACACACACACGCACACGCACACACACACACACACACACACACACACACACACACACACACACACACACACACACCTGATGACAATACTGAAAGATTTTGTGCGTAGTATACTAGAATGTGGATCACTTCTCAATTTTAAATACGTCAACAGATTTTTTTTTCTTCATTTATGGGAGATAAATCTACTATTTAAATGCCAGCCGCAAAATAAATGAATACCAAAAAGTAGTTTCTGTTCTTTCAAAATTAGAATTAAGCTCAGAGAAAAGAATTTTCTTTTTCAAGTTGACAATAAACATGCATTTTACATACATTTTTTTCTTTTTTAACAAAAGGAAAATCACTAGTTTTTTTAAAACTAGCTTGTCGATAATGGTAATTAAATTCAGCATAAAGATAAAATAAACATCAAGAAAAAACCCTATCCGATCCCATTTTTGTATGAGTTGTCTTTGTTGTTGAGATTATTATTAAATTATTTTTTGTTAATGTTATTGCTATAACAATGTTGATGTTTGCAACAGATTTACCTCCAACACTTTCAAATTTCTATATTTTTCAAAGTTGTTTTATATTTAGATATTATTTTATTAGCTCTTTTACACTATTTTAGTTACTTCCACAAGTGCTTCGATAATAAAACAGTAATGTCTGAAGTTTAAAGATGTTAATAAACCGATCTCTACAAAATCTATTGAATGTGTGGATTACGTCACTTCCTTTTGTTCCACCTCACAACTGTAATCTGTATAGTACAGATGACGTCAAAACCACGTGCAATAATAATCATGTGGCTCCTCGGGGTTCACAAATTCCCCGTAATTATTTTCCTTTTTTTTTCTTTTATACACAGCAATTTCTCCAACGGTCCTACCCAAAGATACCCAGCCCTATTATTGTTTACATTTGGCCTGTAATATTTATAAAGTGTGAATATATTTATTAAACCATTTCAAAGCAAACTAAGGTTGAAAAAAAAACATAATAAAATGTGTGTGTGTGTGTGTGTGTGTGTGTGTGTGTGTGTGTGTGTGTGTGTGTGTGTGTGTGTGTGTGTGCGCACATGTACTTTATTTGCTTTGGAATGAATTTTGAGAAAACTGGATTGTACTTTTTTAATCAATAAATTTATCCTGCTCACTCAATGCGGAAGAAAATGGTCTGACGAGTCGGTAAAAAGAACTGTGGCATTAAGTTCCTCACGTATAACTTTTCGAAAGATATTCACACACACACACACACACACACATATATATGATAGTCTCCTGTTGTACTAAAAATTGATCCATGACAGTAATGGCTCAGACACATGTGTTGTTTATCGGTTTTATATTTATTATAGTTTTGTGTCCCCTTGTAATGGGATTTTCCAGCACAGATAATAATACTGTGCGTTCGTTGCAGACTTACTGCAAAATGTGTCCTCGAAGCCCATAGATCTGTAATTTTTGCTTATTTAATAAATACTAAATTTACTTTATATTTGAACAAAATAGAGTTTAAATTAACTACAATAACTTATATTACGCCTAATGAATTTTTCGCTGATTATATATATTTATACATACGGGCGCTGAAAGTTCACGGCACGACTAAAAAGGGATTTTTTAAAATTCTGATGTTTATTGATTTGATCATATTCTGGGAAGTAGGTTGGATCGAGAACTTTTCAACACCCCCTCCTGTATACTAGTTTTGAATGAGAAATGCACATTATTTACATCATAGTATTTGACTGTATACTAATAAAGTAAACCTGAAATTTATTTATAACACTGTGTAACACGATTTTTGTCCTTGGGTAGCAACTGTTATTTGCTTACTCATAGAAAGTATGAATAATGACTAATATTTCCTTCAAACTTTGCTTTTGTGGCCAGGATAATGATATTTCTGAAATCTACTCATTCCCATTTGGAAAACTGGCGCATGTGAACATTCTCGTTCACGCAAAGTAGGAACAAAACGACATATGATTCAAAACTAGCATTCATTAATTCTAGGATTACACAAGAGAGATCACAAAAAACAAAAAAAACAATTAGAAGTGGGTAGTTTTTAGCGATGTACACTTACTACTTAATTTCACGAATCAGCCCCAAATATAGTCTCCTATTATGTTTTTGTTATACGATCCTTGCTAACCAGAAAGTTCTAGAAGTTTTTCAAGTTTTGGAAATTTTTGAAGGTTGAAAGTTCTTAAAACTTCTAGAAAGTTCTAGAAGATTCTCCTTCGATAACTCAGCGCTGAATCTGTCTGGAATGTAATGGAAAATAGGTTAGTTTGAAAACTAGGTCCGGGTCACAAGGCAAAGTTTGAAGGGAATAATAACTATTTCCTTTGTTTTCTAGACAGAAGCAATTAGGAAATAATGCTTACTGACCAAAGACAAGTCAAAATTTTGTTACACAGTTTAATTGATTTTAAAATATACTTTTTACCATTTGATTAAATTTAACATTAAAAAGTACGATACTTCAACTTCATAATAATTAAGCATGCTTAATTGAAATAAAATCTTGATTCGATATGACCAAAAAATATAAATTAAACGAAATATAAGATTTATTTGTACCTGGCTTTAAAACCATTTTGCAAACATGCCGCTATTGGCCTTTTTTATTGAAAAATATCCTGTCTGATCCTTTCAAACCTCACTTTGTAAAATTATTGTATGTAAGTAGAAAACACTACATTTAAGAATACTGAATATTTTAACTGAAACACATTGAAACTTATTTTTGCTATATTCTTGAGGCATATGTTAATTGTTCACTAAATTTAACTGAACTTTGTTTACACTATGCCAAATATTTTCACTACCATTAAAACGAAATTGTATTAAGGAACTTTTCAAACTGTAACTGGGAAAGAATAACTTATAATAGCCGAGACGTTACAGAGGTAAATATGTCATGATATCTACAAGCTATAATGATGACGTAAATTTATCTTTAAATTATTTTGTCTGCTGATGACTATCGGCAGGTTAATCCATGTATCTGTTATGATCATCTCTTTGCTTGTAAAATACGGCTAATATCTTATTTACGTCATTTTTAGTTTCCCTTTTTGGTAAGTGAGAATTGCGCTTGTCTCTAACGCATAAATATTATACTTAACATATTGCATACATGTAAGATGAAAAAACACTTAGTATTTATTCATTTTAATGGTAGTAACTAAAGTGTAATAAAAACATATTTAAAAAAAACAATAGAGTAATTGC